GTTCTAAGTCTGAACCAAAGAGTCCAAATCCGGCAAATCGTTTTGAGAAAACAGATTTTTGAAAGAAGTGCCAAACATGGACTGCTTTGCGAGATACAGAGTCGCGACCTAACTATTTTATTTTTGGAAATTTAGGAAACCCTTGACTAGGTGCCAAAGGCCACGTGGCCATCATCACCAAAGCGGAACGAGCACGACATGTGCAATCATCGAGCGCTCAATCGGTGATCTCTGAGTCTTAAGGTCGGTCAAAAATGGGGTGTCTACACTCATCTTCAGATTCAATTTCAGTAGGGACACTAGATGTACTATGTCTAGAGGATTGACTACGATTAAATTTAATACAAACGGAACCATCAGTATATTGTTGAATATCTTGAATATCTTGAATAGAAGATTGTTGTTGATTATGTTTATAATTTTCATTAGTTGTAAGCCATTGATCAGGGAGAGTAATATTTTTCCATTCAATCATTTGAGGAACATTAATATGTGATTCATTATTACTACTTTGGATTAACAGAGTTTTATCTTTTAGACTTTTATGTAAGGCTTGAACATTTAAATTAGTTTTCATGCATTTATAATGAACACGATAAATCAAGGCAATATTATGAACTTTTTCTAACATATTAGTAAATGAACCATTTAATTGAATATTCAAAGTTAATACTTTTAAAATATGTGAATCTCGTAAACTAAGCATGTAACTGTGTGTGAGTTGAATAAACATTCCTTCTTCTTCATGTTCTTTATAAATTTAATTTATGTAAGGCTTGAACATTTAAATTAGTTTTCATGCATTTATAATGAACACGATAAATCAAGGCAATATTATGAACTTTTTCTAACATATTAGTAAATGAACCATTTAATTGAATATTCAAAGTTAATACTTTTAAAATATGTGGATCTCGTAAACTAAGCATGTAACTGTGTGTGAGTTGAATAAACATTCCTTCTTCTTCACGTTCTTTATAAATTTAATTATAATTTATAAACTTTATCATTAATTTGAATTTTTTTTAACCTTTACACTGAGATGTTATTTCTCCTTAAAATAATCTTCTTGTCTCTCATTTGTTGGCTATTACTAATAATAATATAGGAAGGAATAAAGGAAAAATGTGAGAGGGACATCTCAGGAGAACATGACAATTTATTCACATTATAATTGTCCACACATGTAGAAATTTTAAATAATTAAGAAATAACAAACAAGCAATATTTTTATTGTGGCTGGCCAAGGTTTGTCATCGTGCATCCTTGCTTATAAATTCCACAAAGTCATCCATCAAACTCTGCATCGTAGTAAGAAAATAAATAAAAGAAATAAGAAAAGTCTTTAGCAGAAAACAAAATTCAGATAAACCATAAGTAATATGAAAAAAGAGAAATGAATAGAGGATTTGGTGCACAGAATATACAACTCTCTCATATGAGGGTGGGGTTCACACATGTGGAGTCCATGTGGGATCCAGTCTCGTATGAGAGGGTTGTGCATTTTATGCACCAAATTCTCCGTGCACCTAGTTTATGAGAAAAAGTAACTGCTAGGATTTTATCCAAATAAATTCTTGTATTTTGACAATCCTGTTCTTGACAAAACAATTGTTGTTTATTGATTATTAATTCAAGCAATTGGTTATATTTTATTGAATTTTTATCTTGAAGAAAATACGTTTACAGATTTGATGTGAGGCGGATTTGATGCTGTCTAAACTTTGTGTATAAATCAGAGTTGAAAAAGTGGTGGTTTGTCTTTGGATTTCAGAGTTGCATCTTTAGAGATTGATCAAAGCAAAAAAAGGGGTTGTTTGTCTTTAGAATGATGGGCAAAAGCATGGGTTTAAGATTTGATGGAAAAGTGGCTAAAAATAGGCTAAAAGTGGTTGTTTGTTGTATGATTATTTGCAGGGCATAGGTTGAAGACATGAAGGAAATCAGGACAAAAGTCTGCAGAACTGGCTGAGTTATCATCAGTATCGCGCCGCGAGGTGTAGACATCATGCCCCTGAATAAGCCGCGATGCCCCCCATGTCCAAAACCAACTCACAGCACTTTGCGTCCAAGCAGCGACCAAAATGAACTCCCAAGTACTTTCCTCTACAGCCCGCAAAGGCATAAACGCACCTGCGAAAGACACAGTCGCGCCAGCGATCATGTGTCTCGTGCCTGCGATGGTGTTATCTCTATATAAGTCAAGCTTGTTCTGTTTTGTGATCAGCTCTTCCTATTCCAAAGTTCGAGAGACATTTCTGAGAGAGCGTTGTAGTGGGGTTATTCTGTATCCTTGTTTACTTGCTGATTAATTTGGTCTTTAGATCTTTCAAGTCATCATCAAGATTGTAAAAACATCTAAACATTTTGTGAGTATTCCTTCTTGGTAGATTCCAAGATCTTGAGGTGTAAGCTCTAATGGATTCTAGAGCATTCTTGTCGTGGACTTGACACCGTTGTTCTGGATTTAATAGTGGAGGCGAATACCCACAAGACGAAGTACAAAAGTGGAGCTACTTGAAGGTCTCGAGCAAACTAGCATGTCTGGATTGGTTTTTGTAAGAAATTTCTCATACTACTCTCTTCATAGTAAATTATTCTTGTGGCCGAGGGATCGTGATTTTTTATCACACGTTGATAGATACCAACTGTGATTTTTTCACGTAAAAATCTTTGTGTTGTGTTTGTCATTGTATCTTCTCTTTAATAGCTGATCATGATTGTTTTGGAATTCTAAAATCAATAATCACAACATGATGGGACTAAGATTTTCAATAACAAAGTAGAAATGGAAATAAGTAACATGCTATTAGGCCAAAACAAAATAAAATAAAAATAATTGTATACAAAAACAGTTGAGTTGATAACCCAAAAAAGAAAATCATTGTGATTATAATCCATGTGCGAAGTTTTTATTTTTATTTTATTTAAAAAAAAAATAAAATTATTGAAAAAGAAGATATGCAACAAAACACAAGGTCAAAAAAGGCATGAGTACTGCCAAAAATCCATTAACTCACAAAAGAGTCACAAAAAAAACTTGATATGGCCTAAAAGAAAGTCAATCAAAGGATGGGGAAAAAATATTCCTCACAAAACACTATAGAAAGCACCACTACAAGAACAGGTAAAATAATACATTTTTCACAACTCAAGAAGAAAACAAACATCTACACACTAAAACCCTATAAAACCATTACTCCCGCGTTCCACAATATTAGTCTATTTTAAAGGTTCATGCAACTAACGTATTTAAATTCAAATAAAAATACGTTACTAACAATACGGGATAAAAAAAATAATAAAACCATTTCTGCTATCACCGAGTTCATGTCAATATCAAATGTTGAAACCATAGTAATAGAGATAAATAAATAGTTAATATAGAGTGAGCAGGGTTACCTACTTAATCGTGTTGCAATCAACAGTATGGTCAATGGGTATTCCGTGCATATCAATTTTGCAAAGAATGGGAAGTTGCTGAGCTCTGTCAATTTTAATCCCGAAATAGGGTCCAACTTGTTTGAAACACTTACACACCAACTGTCGATCTGCTGTAGAATTAGCCATCTGGTTCAAGGCTTGAGCCTCTTGACAACATGGCACTGTCATCCCTTCATTCCCCCTCAAGTATTGCTCACATGGAAGTATCTTTGATATCACTACTTGGCATGTTTTTGCAGTGTTCACAGTCACAGGGTTTAAAATCACCACCAAAACTACCATCACTGAGACTAGCGCACACACTGATCCACCCATCACTTTCTTTATCACCATAACTTTTCTTTCTTTAAAGCTTTAAGATTTGGTTTAGAAATGTTTGTTGGGACTACAATGTTGTGGAGCAGAATCTATTTATACCAATCAAGTTTACATATTTGGATGGGGGAAATCCCATGTACCTTATCATAAATGGTATAATTTTATTATAAAATTTCGTAATGTCAATTACAAATACTTAATCTTGCAATAAATTAGCATAACAAAATGTCCAAAATTTTGTGATTTATGTAACAAAAGTTTGTGACTTGATTACGATATTTTTTTATTACACTAATTTGTGGTGAGGTTACATATTCTGTGGTTGATATTAATATGAATAAATTTTATGATAAAATTATGTCAATTTACAGTAGTGTGCATATAATATACACAGTGTATACCATAAAATTTCCCTTTGAGTGGGAGCACATATAAATAGTATCAATTAAATTTACGTTCTTGAAAGGAAATTAGTGAGTTTTGTGTTAGTGCAATAACGTATGAAGAAGGTATAACAATGCCACTAATTTAAGCTCATATAAGCGTATATTATCAAAATAATTAATTGTTAGCATTAAGTGTTAATTAGGATTTGCGAATGTAAATGTACACGTGTATATGTATTATATGAAGAGTCCAGTTAGAATTTGTCATTAGGGGACAATGTTTTGTGTAGTTTTGATCATTTATAAGTTTTAATTTGTCAAATTTGTTTATGAAGTTTTCAATTTGAGTTAAATTAATCTAATTCTAAACAATCGTAATGAAAGAAATATAAATTTCAGCTATAGTCTCTAAAGTATTTTGGTCCCTAGAGTTTTAACGTTGTCAATTTTGTCCCACAATATTATAAGATTATTTTTTATCTTCTTTATGAATATTTTAGGATCAAATTGACAAAATTAAAAATTTAGAAACTAAAATGACATGAATGATATGTATTTTATTATAATTCCGTTAATTATTTAGACAATCTATTTGAAATTGGACCACATTGATTCAAAATGAAAATTTTAAGGACAAAATTAATAAGATTAGAACTTAAAAAATTAAAGTGACAATAAACACTTACTTTAAAGACCGTAATATATTTTATCATTATATGTTACACTACAAGAAAATGGGGTATATAAAACGGAAGCATGTGCAACAGCATCACTTACCGTCGCAAAAAGTGAGTTTTTGCAACGACACCACTTGCCGTCGCCCATAAATCGAGTTTTAGCGACGACACCACTTCCTGTCACAAAAAAATAAGTTTTTGCGACGGCAACAACTGCAGTTGCAAATAATTCGAGTTTTTTGTGAAAACAACCCTGGCTGTCACAAATAAAGATATTTTTGCGATGGTATGAAACTTGACGTCACAAAAAAAAAAACCCCAAAATCTGCGCTCAGTTTTTTTTTTTTTTTCCCTTGGCGCTCGTTTTTCCCCCCTTCAACCAAAAATCCCTAATCGTTTGAACCAAAAACCTTATCAAAAATCCCCATCTCTTTTTACGACTCTCTCTCTCTCTCTCTCACACACTCAACTGTGAGTAGCGGCAGACGACGGCGAGTATCGAATCGACGGCGTCGAGCGACGGTAGCGAGCAGCATAAGATGGCATTTAGTAGCGTGTGATGACAACGAGCCAGCGATGACGATGCGGTGTATCTCTCTTCAACTCTCTCAGTTAGTCTCAATCTCTGAACCAGGTTAGCTCTTATTCTTCTTCGTCTTCATGTCTCTGCTCTGCTAAGTTAACTGAATTTTTTTTTTTAATTTTAAATCTCTGAACCATGAAACTTTTAGAAGAACAAAGGCCCCGTTTGGTAGAGCTGTGGAAAAGTGATTATAGATTATTGTAACGCCCTCAAAATAACAACATTCTTTTATTCATTAGAGTTCCATTACATAAGTATTACATGTTAACATCAAAACAAAATGCCCTACGGGCTTACAGTTTTCCAAGTTAATACTTGGTTACAACAAAAGAGTACTAACTCGTTTACACATTAAGCCCTTGGCTTGAAGTTACAAAGTAATTATCAAAAGTTAAGCGACAAAAGTATGTCCGCCTCTAGCCTTCCAGCTATGTCCTTGGAGGTGGCATGCTACCTGTACCTGAAAATGATATTCCCATATAGGGTGAGCCACAGCCCAGTAGAATACACTAAACCAACCATGAACAATGACTAAAAGATTAGCAATTGATAGATGGCTAACACAGATACATTCACATAAATTACACATTTATGTCATACAACTTATGAGTCTAAGTTACCTTTCATTTTTCCTTTTTCAACAGATAAGCATGCTAGCTCTATCATCATTTCCACAGATATGTATAAAAACTATATCCCACATTCAGATAAGCATAAAAGCTATATCCACATTCTCAACAGATATGTATAACAACAATATCCCACATTCACAGATAAGCATATAAGCTGTATCCACACTTTACTAAGATAAGCATATAAGCTCTACTTCACTTCTCTAGACAAGCATATGAGCTGTGTCTACGGAGTTCATCCCTTATCTTCTCCAACACTATCCGGTTTAGAGGTACATCCCCTATCTTCCCCTAAACCGCGGAGTACATCCCTATCTCCTCCTCTACACATAACGTATATAAAACACATTGGTTCTATATACAATCACCCAATACATACTGTTAATGTATTCTATCAACCGTCAAGTTCCATGACACATTTCGTTGATTAAGTTCAGTTTGCCTAATCATCATGCATTGTCTACAACAATCACGACTATCTCCACCGATAGCCCAAAGCAGTTATTTCTAAACAGAAAATAAATTCACAAATGGATATTCAATCAACATTTCATTTCCTCATTTCTCACCATTAATTTATCCAATTAATCAAACAATGTAATTAGGCCATTTTCCATAATTACCATTTCAACCCTTAGGTCCATTTTCATCAATGATTTAACATCAATTCCATTTCTCCATGCCAAACATGCATCTAGGTTTATTATGAATAAAACCCCAACTTTTGTAAATTACACAAAAGCCCCAAATTTCACAAAATTACCAAGCCAACCCAACATCTCAAAATACCAAAATTTAAAGACAAAATCCATAGAGAGGAGTAGGATATCCCTACCTCGAAGTTTAGCCAAAAAGGAGATGAAGACTCGAAGATCAACGTGCTCCAAATCCAAACTTTTTCAGATTAAAACAAAGCTCTCAAGCCCTCTAACTTTTTAACAAAGGCTCTAGGCTAGATTCACACTCTAGGGAGATCAAATCTTAGAAGAATGTAAGTTTAGAGAGAGAGGTCTCGATTTAGGGTTTGATCAAAAAAAGAAGTGAAAAACTGAAGTTCAAAATCGCTACTGTCCGCTGATAAAAACACGCTCGCTCGAGCGAAGCTTTGTCGCTCGAGCGACCAGACACAGAGAAAACTCTGCTCGAGCCAAGAAGTTCTCGATCGAGCGAAGAAAAACCCAGACCGCTCGAGCGAAGGAAGCTCGCTCGAGCCAAGAAAGGCAACTCTCAGGTCCAGAACCAGACGCAACACCGCTCGAGCCGAAGCCACCTGGGCTCGACCCACCAGACACAAACTCAACTCTCGCTCGAGCGACCAACTCCTCGCTCGAGCGAAGGTCCAAAAATCTGGGCAGCAACACTAGGCTCCCAAACACAACCAACCTGAAACAAACCTGCCCAACACATCCTATAACTCAATATACCAGTAAAGAGGATGCAAACAAGATAATAAACAAATACCAACATCCACGGACACATGTCCGGATCACTGTACAACAAGGGTAAAAAAAACCCGGGATCGCTATAATTATAGTTTAACAGATTATAGTTTATAGCTGTGAGTATAAACTAGTAACCTGTTTGGTGTAGTTGTGTGATTATAGATTTAAGCAGCAGAGTAGAGCTTGGTAAATAAGCTGTAAAATAGCTTTTTGCTGTGTAATTGTCATTTTTGCCCTTATGAATAGGAAAATTATAATTTTGTCATTTTCTTCTCTTTAAATTTTGAAAAAGTTATTTCATCAATGGAAGTTGATTAATTAGTACCTAATTTGGTACATTTCATTACCTCAAATTTATTTATTTATTTTATTTATTTTTTTTGTAATAATATTAAGTTGAGAAGGAAACAAAAAAAATGTCATTGCAATAAAAATACAATAAATTACTATTAAAGAAATAAAAATAAAGCTTCCTACATATTTAAAGATCTCCTAATTTCGTCGGCAAATTGACATACAAATATTATGTCTCTTCACTTCCATTTCGTTGTCATCACAATCAACATTATTTCCATGGTGGGCTTGTTGAGACGAAGATCCTTCCTCTTCATTAGGCACATAATCCGCGAATCTATCATAAGAGTTAAATGCAATATCGCGGAACTCACTTCGTCGGATGAATTATGAATTGCCATTGTTGCACAAACAAGTTTGACTTGGGTCGCCCAGCTGTAGTTTGGTGGGATATCCTTTATCATCGGCCATCTTACTTTCCAAACCCCAAACGTTCTTTCTATTACACTTCTAAGTGATGAATGTGCTTGGTTGAATTTTTCTTGTGCATTTTGAGGGGGTTGACCATGTTCAAATTGAGCTAGATGATATCTCTCTCCTTTGTAAGGTGCAAGATATCCTTTCATGTTTGGATACCTAGCATCCACCAAGTAAAACTCATCTATGTGTAAATATAAGATTCATTGTTGTGTGAGTGATTTTCTGATCACACAGCCCGTTTAGTAATCAGTTAGAGAGCACCAACAGAATAGATGGCTTCAGCTAACCTGTAACAGAAAGAGAAGGCTCCGGCGGTGGTTCTTTCACCCGGGGGCATTCCGACGATCAAGTCAGTATATCTCTCAAAGATAATCAAGTGCTAAACTCACTGCTCAAAGCATAAATTGCGTACCTTAGACCCACGGGGGTGTCTTTCTTTTATAGTTAACTCAATCCTAGTTCCACTAGAAGTCTGTCTTCTATGGACTCCAATTCAGTACTTACTTTGAACTCCTCAAGAGATAAGGATAAACTCCCTAAGAGTTTTATCCT